TTTTTTTTTTTTTTTATTTCTCCCTTACCCCCCCCCTCCCTTTTTTTTTTTCTTAAATAATTTTTTTGTATGAATTACAACTTATAAATTATTCATTAAAAATACAACTCCCCACAGTTGGTTGAATCGCGATACGGATTCAAGGGTTGCTGAGATTTCGATATGAATATTTCTAGGATAGGAAAATGAAAGATTCCCTTTTCGTTATATACCACCCTACTAAGAAAGTGTTAGAGAATAAGAAATCGAAATAGGGGGAACGATAGTACTTCTAAGTTGTAAGAAAATAATTAGGCAGTATGTATAACGTTACCGTGTTGCGTGTCGAGCCGATTCGCTAAGGCGTCATTTCTACCAACATGTATATGCAAATAAGATGCAATTGCAATGCGATTTACTTCGACGAATTTCAAAAGACTTTCTCATTTTCATCTAAAAGATTTGATAGATGAGTCACGATGTGAGCCATTCGAAATTACCGGATTAAAATTATAATGAAATTCAAACCGATTGTTCTTAACGTTCTAACTTTATATGTGTAAGTAATAAACGTGATACCTTAGTATACCTTTACACAACTGGATAGTAATATTTTATCCGAATAATTAAGAATGCAACAAATAAATCTAATACTAGTTTAGAATAGGTAATGCAGATGGTACTACAACATTTTGCGATGTTCCTGCAACGATCGATAATATTTAACTCGTCTACTCGTGCGTTTTATCGTTACACCAACAATACTAATGATGATTGAACAAATAGATGTAAATTATATTAATGTTGGATTCGTTCATTAATTATCAATGATATGTATCTAACATTTAATGGATTTCTAAGAGTTATCTTTTAACTTTTCATCTAACTAAGAGTTAAACGTAATATACACACACAGGTGTATATAGATATATAGTTAGGAATTATCAAGAGGACATTGACATTAGCAGACTTCATCATAAGCCCGTGTAATAATGTGATAATACCCTCATAACAAAATATCGACTATTTCAAATGATTCCTACAAGAAACATAACAATGCTAACCCTATAGCATTTACTAAATGCATAATATTATTCTACTATATCATCTGTTATCTATAATATATTTTGAAATATATTTTCTAGGAGGATTGGCGTGCTCGCGTAAGGGGTCTCGAAAGAGTAGCATCGGCATTAAGAACTCCTTCAGCACTAATCGCGATAGAACCCAGATTAGGATCACTTTTGCATGCTGTGCTTGGCGGTGAAAGGAGCTGTCGCGTAGCAGCTGCTGGTTTAGCTGTTGCAAAGGTATTACTATTAAATAGACATTGAATTTTTAAGGGGTTACATGGATTTACACCGGGAAAAAATACCATATTTTCAACAATTTTTTTTTCTATATAAAAAATGGAATTCTTATTCAAACTTTTTATAGTATTTAAGATACATATTTGAAGAAGATTTTCTGAATTTTTGGTTGAAAAATATTTTAAACTCCGCCATTGTGACGTCATTTCCGGTGACCCCACCGAAAAAACGTGTTTTCGCGTTGACAGCAGAACTTATAAACGGTGGGGGTTTTTCTGTTGAAAAAATAGGGTCTTTTAGTGAATACTTAAAACTAGAAACTGGACGAAGGAAAAAGAAAAAAAATTGAAATTTGTATTTTTGCCAACGTTTTTAGCAAGAACATTCAAATTTCGCTAGAATTTGCACTACATTTTAGTTTCTTAAAATTCGATTTTATGAAAAAAACGAAAATCCTTCGTCCAAGTCCTTGTCAATAGTATCACGAAGACGTGNAATCCTTCGTCCAAGTCCTTGTCAATAGTATCACGAAGACGTGTAGCAAATTTCATGAAAATCGGTTAAATAGTTTTCGAGAAATCTTGACAACCAACTTTAGAAAAAGCGTTTTTAAAAAAACGCGTTTAAAGATTTGAGTGGTGGAGTGCAACTTCCCAGGGCTCAATCTTTAAAACTACTACTCCTATCGACTTCAAAATTGAATACAATATTCTAGATGAGTTGTAGAATTGAAAAAAAAAAAATAAAAAAAAAAATTTTTTTGAAAGTCCCAAACCCATGTTATCCCTTAAACACCATATACTCGCCAGTTAATTAAGTTTTCCTGTCCTTTCCCTTTCGATCTTTTCTTCCACGTTTCTTTCTTTTTTATCTACGTTAAATGTACCTAATTAATGTATTAATTGAAAGTTCAGATTATTCTAATGAAAAATTCCTGTTAATTAGATATAATCAAACTATCGTTCATGTAATAATATTTATATGTAGAAATGTAATGTAACTTAAATAAAATAGAAAGAGAAGGATATTAACGAAAGCAAGGAAGGTATGGCAGTTAAATTAAGGGGTTACATGGGTTTACACCGGGAAAAAATGGCATATTTTCAACAATTTTTTTTTCTATATAAAAAATGGAATTCTTATTCAAACTTTTTATAGTATTTAAGATACATATTTAAAGAAGATTTTCTGAATTTTTGGTTGAAAAATATTTTAAAGTCAGCCATTGCGTCGTTATTTCCGGTGACCCCACCGAAAAAAAGTGTTTTCGCGCTGACAGCAGAACTCATAAACGGTGGGGGTTTTTCTGTTAAAAAAATAGGGTCTTTTAGTGAATACTTAAAACTAGAAACTGGACGAAGGAAAAAGAAAAAAAATTGAAATTTGGATTTTTGGCAACGTTTTTAACAAGAACATTCAAATTTCGGTACAATTTGCACTACATTTTAGTTTCTTAAAATTCGATTTTATGAAAAAAACGAAAATCCTTCGTCCAAGTCCTTGTCAATAGTATCACGAAGACGTGTAGCAAATTTCATGAAAATCGGTTAAATAGTTTTCGAGAAATCTTGACAACCGACTTTAGAAAAAGCGTTTTGAGAAAAACGCGTTTAAAGATTTGAGTGCTGGTATAAAAGCCATTAAAAAATGGAACTTCCCAGGGCTCTATCTTTAAAACTACTACTCCTATCGACTTCAAAATTCAATACAATATTCTAGATGAGTTGTAGAAATAAAAAAAAATTTTGTTGAAAGTCCCAAACCCATGTAACCCCTTAATTGACAGAGATGTTAGAATACTTTACAAACTTCCTGGATTTGATATTCCCTAATTTATATTCTTTTATTTTCGTTTATCTTATCGCTTAGCAATCAATGTCATTCCTATTGCATTTATTAGATCGTTGTTGCTGGTGTCACGGAAGATGCACTCAAACGAAGATTAGCTCAATTAGCTTGGGGATTGGCTAGACAAGGTGGACCTAGTGCTGCTCAACTTGCCCGAATTGCTATGCTCAGATTAAAACCTGCATATCTTTTAGAACAATTTTTACAACCGCAATGTCTCGGGGCTAGAAATGCTAAGGTAAATAATATTTAATGAATATCTTAAAATAAATTAGATTTTTTTTCCAAATACCATCTAAATTAACTATTTTTTCATTTTTTTCTTATAGACGAGAGAGAACGCATTGCAATTGTTGATCTTCTCCTTCGTCACTTTTCCCAGTACAGAATTTAAAGTCGAAACTGTGGCACATAAAGTTGCTCTTATGGTTGGTGATAGACGTCGAAGAGTAAGACAAGCTGCTTTAGATGCCTTAGCTGTTTTAGCACAAATTTACGAACCCGAAGTAATTATTATTATTATTATTATTATATTCATCGATCTTAAAATGATATTTCTTATAAATAAAAAAAAATAAACAATTATTGTTACCGTTTAAAGGAGGTTTTACGAGCAGGGAAAAGAGCATCAGCCAGTAGGCACGATGGCGAGGCTATGTTTTCAGCTATAAGATCTCGTCTAGCTAGAAAATCATTGCCTTTGGTATCTGCCGATGGTTTGGTCGTTTATGGTTTACAAATTTCACCAACCGTTCAAATTGCTACCGGTAATCGTACGATCAATCCATTCGTAACTATCGTTTCTTAAATATTTCACATATTTTATAATATAAAATACATCATTTATATTTTATTTTATATATATTAGGGTGAATCAAAAAAAAAACTTTTATTTTTTTTTTGGATCTGACACGCAAAAACTTGTTGCTAGGCACCTTTAGAAAGTACTCACCCAGTATGGGCTCTTAAT